TAAAACTGTAATGTTCATCATCTTTCCCTTAACCCCAAACTGAAAATAGGACTGATAAGGATGCAAACTCTGTTATTTTCACTGTAGTTTTCCAATGTTAAGGAAAAATTATTTTGCCACCAATTTGGGGAAGAATATTCTACCTAGTTGCCACTATTTTTAGAACTGTATTGCCTTATGTATATCTGAGCAGCTGAACTACAAATTTTAGTTCTGATCTAGCTGTAGAGAAAGTATTTTAATACTACTTAGTCTCTTGGAGGCAGGAGGAAAGACCGAACTGTTTTCAGAGGATGAGCAGACTGTGGGATCAGAACCTCAGGATACATTTCATGGAGAGGGTCATTTGAGTTTGAATTACCACAGATGTGCAGAACCTGTTCTGACACTGAATTACAGGGCGCTTTGTTGGTTCGCTTGTTTCAAAAGATAAGCTGTTACACACATCAAAATAAGACCAATACTTCAGAGAGATCATGAAGTGTGCACTTGTGTTATTAGTTAGGAGATGCAAGCACAGAAGACTGCCCTGGAGGTTAGCGCTTCTTATTCCAGAAAATCATATGAGTGAAAAATAGAAATTAAACATTTCTCAATCAGTTTCTACTGTGCTGTTGTAGTAAAAGGAATTCATTGCATAAACCCCCACCCGATTTCACATCTGTGAGCCATTAAGAATTGTTAATGATTTGATGAACTCTGATTTGGCCCGCACAAGGTAGAACTCCATGACAGAGTAGGGGAAAAAAACCCAGCTCCAGTATGTTCTACTTGCAAGAGAACCTTATCTAGAGAAGTGTTTTTTTAATGTTAAAAGCACTGACTCTTCTGAGCAGTTTCTTTTGGAGGAGCTTTCTTTACTTTTGCTGCTGTTTATTTCTTTAGTCCCACAGACGAGGTAGAGCTTGCTTTAATCTTAATGAGAAGAGTTGCTCCTTTTCTGTTAATGCACAGAATAGTCCATCTGTGTACATAACACCTCAGGGGCGTGCCGGCTGACAAAGAAGTGCAATGTATTAACTTAACGTCTTAAATGCTCTTCTAGGCCCCAGTCAAACTGGCCAGGTAGTGAGTGTACAGTGGGATCCAGACGGCATTGCCAGACTTTGTGCTTGATAAGCTCAGGTGGAAAGCATGTGGGGCAGGGGAGTTGATAAGCTCAGGTGGAAAACATTCAGGGTAGGGGAGTTGATAAGCTCAGGTGGAAAACATTCAGGGTAGGGGAGTGCTGCTTGAGTAGTTAGTGTCCTTGGAGGTCTGTGTTGTTTCTGGAGCACAAGATGAGGAATCTTTCAAGAAAAAAGAAAGGGGAAAAAAAATAATACATAGTATTTCCTTTAAAGAGTACGTCTAAAAGGAAGAGGAGTACCATCACACAGTTCTACTTTAAGGTCTGTAATTATAGGAACATCTGTGCCTTTACATATACTCAAAAATTCTTGGGGTTGTTTTGGGTGAGGAGCAGAGTTGTTGAATATGAGACTGTTACTTGTGTATTGACATCTCAAAACCCGTCTGATACACTGTGGGGCCTTATGCACCCAGAATATAACAACACACCTGATTTTTGGACAGAGGCTGCTGTTCTTGAAATATTCAGGACCGCTAGGTGCTTGGCGACCTTAATCCCACCCAAGGCCAGGAGCAGGGAATAATAGTGCATCAAACTGAGTTATTTGCTGGGATTCCTGTGGTACGTGGGTTGTGTGACATCCTCTGATATGAGGGCACCTGGGGGTAGAAGCAGAGCAGACCTTGACAGCTAGGAAAATTTACTACTGCGTCGAGGCTGGGTGGAGGCTGGACTTGCAGGAGTACTGTGAAAGACAGAGTGCTCGTAAGAGAGCTGTGCTTTCCCCCTGAGCTTCCAGGGTGTTTCCACGGACCCCAGGCACCTGATGTTCTTCGGTACAACTTCTCCCGTCCCAAGTTAAATGGCGTTATCAGCCAGGAACGCCGGTTCCCTGCAGGTCCCCTCCTGTCGATGGGAAGGCAGCAGCAGCTGGCCGTCTGCTGCGGCTCTGGGGACAAAAGGTGTGGGTGAGGAATGCTGGCAGCCTTTTGGTATTATTATTATTATTATTTCCTGTCTTTGTATCTGTGCAGTTTTGTTTATAAAAAGAACTGCTGCTCTCTTAATTAAGAAATAGAATGACATAAATCAATTACTTTAAAAGGTTGTTCTGTTTGGGGAACGAGGGCAAGTAATTGTGGCAAGCTATACTGAAAATGTCACGCAATCTATGGTTAAATTATTTTGTTCTTTCCGGGCTGTAGTTTTTATGAAATTGGTGAGTCAGGCAATTGTCGGTAATATTTTTGTTGTCTTAAAGCTTTTTTCTTACCCTATATGAACTACGTGCATCCATCTAGATTACATCTGAGTGACAAAAATACATAGATAGCAGGAGGAGGAAGAGTAATGGCTTTATTTAGAATTAACTGTCAGTAAGTGTTTATTAGGTGCATCTGTCATGTCTTATTCTGGATTTGTGTTCCTAGTCTCTTAGCCGGGAATTCATTTTTTTGATACCTGATGACGCCAAATATTTTAATGTTATTATTCTCATTCAGCAGTCTATGTAAGCAGTGTGGGACTTAAGTTCAGGAATATCAGAAGTACTTACTGCCTTCTTTTTTAGTCATTTAGCAAAAGCACATGTATGGCCTATTTTTAATACCTTTTTAGATGAAATGTTTTATGTATTGTCAAGAATATTCAATTTCTTTCAAAAAATAAATGCCATTATGCATGGGACTCTGCTTGTAAAACAGTTTGTGCAATTAATATATCAGATGGAAAATCTGGGCTAAGAAGGGCTTTGGGAGAAAATACGTACAAATATGGATAAATCAAGAAGGCTCACGTCAGATAATTCAAGATAATGGTATCTTGTGTGTGTGTGTGAACAAGTAAAGTGGATTCAAGAAGATTTGAGAATAATTACTTCCTTTCGCAACCTAAATTTAAATGTCTAAATGAGTTCTTATGGCACTGGGACTTGGAAATGGCCTTACTTTCAGGTGTCAGGCAGAGAAGAATACCTGATTTTTATTGCTGCTTGTCTGTTTGCTAATAATGATGAGCATTGCCTAGCATGTAAGAGAGAGACAGCAGTATTTGGATGAATTGAGGGCTCCCATTGAAATGCCTTGGGAGTATGCAGGACTTGTGCTCTTTGATGTTTTCTGAAGCAATGGTGTCTAAGAAAGAGAGAAATTAAGATCTTCCCCTTGTACATCACACTGTCTGTGCATGTATTGTGTTGTTTTACTGTGAAACATTACTTTTGATGAACAAGCAGTTGTAAGGCCAAAGGCAGAGTATTCATTATTTAAGTACAATGGGAGAAAATATCAAAAATACAGTGAGGCACCCCACAAAGCAGCAGGCTGTGTTGTTTTGAGCTTAGAGTGTTCCTGCCTTCTTCTCCATGCATATGTGTGGCAACCAAATCATATTATGGATCAGTCTTGGTGGTTCTGATCATTCAGTTTCCCCTACTGTAGGGGAATGGAACTCAGGAGAATAAAAGCTTTAGTAGATCATTGCTTTCACTGAAATTTTAACCATTTGTGTTTTCTTTGTTGGAGAATTAGGGCAAAGTTTTTAGCTCCTCACAAGCCGGTCAAGCACGTCTGAGAACCAGGCTGTGTGGCAAGGTGTGATACATGATCGGTCCTGCTCACCATTTTTGTTCTCTGTTCATATGTTGTAATAGAGTATATGGCTGATTTGAGAAACTGCTTAGGAAGGGAAATTAATGGAAGGCATAGCTCCAAATGCTCGATTAACCTAGACCTTTAAGTGGCTTTGTTTCGGAGGCAAGAAATCAGGCGACAGGCTCTGGGAGGAGTTGGTCGGAGGCTGCTGGAGCTGGGGACCTGCTCCTGTGTCTTGGTCCTAGAGTACTGGGTTTACAGCGTGTTTGCGTGTGGCTCAGTTCTGGTGTGTAAATTCTGGAAGTTGAAGGCAGGTGAAGATTGTGCCGGTGTGTTGTAGCAGGAACAGAGCATAGGTGACGCTTGCCCAAGGGCCAAGCTGGGGCATCCCTGCCTGCAGTACCAACATGTTCCTCCTGTGAGTCCCTTTGGAGGTGGGCTACACCCTAAAAGGGGTGAATGACAACCAATAATGCAACAAAAACAGTTTTAGAGAAGCTTTATGCTATAAGCTGGGGCTCTTAGGAGACAGCTGGGGCTCAGAGTCAGATCGATCTTTTTGCCTCCATGTATCTTCAGATTTTGCAGACATTTGCATTAGCAAGTGAAAATGTTCTCACTTCCTTGCAACCTAACGAGCAGATGTCTTTTCAACATTAGGGATTGTTTGAAGACAACCATCAGAAAGGTGGTAGCTCTCAAGAAGCAGCTAAATTAATGCACTGAGGTTTTGTGAAATCCTGTTACTTGGTAGCAGTCATGTTGATCCATCAGAATGTGTTCAGCCACAAATTTTAGATCGACCACCAAATACCCAAGAGTCTTCCTTATCCCTTTGGCACAGGGATGCACACGCTGCAGAGCCTCCTTGTACTGGTCTGGCCCTCTTAGGCAAAGGTTGACGGGGAAGAGGTGCATGACAGATTATCTCATGTTCTGCAGGGCTATTTGCTCCAGGCAAAACCATGGAGTCAGCTACGTGTCATTAGACCGATAATCAAACTGAATAGCTAGAATGGGGTGGCCCCCAAAGCAGGACCTGGTCCTGTGCAACCCTGCACTCGTCTATGTCCTGAGCACTTCTAGGATCTTTTATGGTACAACGGGCCTGTTTCTGCTCCCTGATTACTCGCTTCTGGGGAGCGCACCCAGGTCTTGATTTTAGTGGCTTTTTGTGCTCAGTAAGCATTTGTGTGCTGTGAGTGACTCCATACAGTTTCTGAGTGAGGTACACTGAGCTGGATCTGCTGCTGCAGTTGGGGCCCAGTTTATGCATTCGCAGTGCTACCACTTTTCTTGTTCTCTAGAGCTCCTTGCAGCTTGTTTTAGGGGCTGGCATGGTCTGCGAACTTGCGGGTGGCTCAGCAGCCTATGAACCCCCTTGGAGTAGGAGAGACGCTGCGACGTGGCACTGCCGTTTTGTGTGTCACTGCGTGGGGCACTGTGGTCAAGTGTCCCATGAAGGGACAGGTCCCTAGCTGAGGGCATCTCCATCAGCCCCTCCTCGTCATGCAGCCTACCATGGCAGAGGTAAAGAGGCACAGATAGCTAGTCACTCCTGGATGTATGGCATTTAGCGTATTCACACTCATTATTCCCTTAGAATTTGTCTCTGGCACAAAAGCTTTCCCTTGTTTCCAGTCTCTTACCATGCTGTAATAATTAACAGCATATGTTGATATGCTGCACCCAGAGAAGGATGCAAGTCTTCCTCCCTCCCGTTGTTTCCTCTCCTCCTCTCCCCTCCCAGATGTCATGGAGGCATTGCTAACGTACCTGTTATGAGAGGCTGCCAGGCAGGCATTCGTAGCATGGTACACTACAAGAATTCAGGGCTCTCTTTGGGGTTCAGGAACGGTTGGTATTGTCCACAGGTGGAAAAGCTATGGCTGCCATAGCTCTCCAAATCTTAAGATTTCTGGGTAGCATTAAATTTTTTGTAATGTTGAAATACTTCTCTTGAAGATAGGGCAAGTATCCTCTGTTGGCTTGATTTTTGGTTCCAGCCCATTTTTACTTCCTATGGCAGTACAAAACGTTGCTAACATTTGTCTTCCCTTCTGTCCTGTTTCTGCAGGTCTTGATGATTGCCTGCAGCAATATATAAAGAACTTTGAAAGAGAGAAGATTAGTGGCGACCAGCTACTACGCATTACTCATCAAGAACTGGAAGATCTTGGAGTCACACGAATTGGCCATCAGGAACTTATCTTGGAAGCAGTAGACTTGCTCTGCGCGCTGGTAAACTTTTTGGGGCAAAACAGGGTGTGTGGGGGGAGTGAACAGTGTTTGCATACTCACAGTTTGTGTATTCAAATTTCCAGTTCTAAAGACTAAGTGGTTTAAGAAACTCCTGGCATGTGATGTATGAACAATTTAGCATTTTAAACCAGAGGCAAGATAAAGAGCAATATCTACTGATAGGATGATGCTTGTGAAATAAATTGGTATCGGAGAATTAAGGCTTGCATATCTGTCTTTATAGAAGAAAAGTTTATCTGAAATCACAAAAGAGCTAGAGTGGGTTTGGTTTGGAATGTAAAACAGTTATATATGTGAATGCAGTAATTGAGTGTTGGTTGCCCTTTACAAGCAAAATGTCCTGATACTAACCATGTAATTTTTCACTGATCCTTTGATGCAAATTATGTTTTAGATGATTATTCAAGCTTGCTGAAACATAGCTGCTTGTATTTCAGAGTAGAAAGGATAAAATACTGAAATAATTATCCTATGTGTAAATAATACATGCATCTTTGATGGCACATACAGAGGGATTAGGTAATGGTCCTTTCAGTCAGGTTGTGTCATGCGTAACTGGGATTATCCCCTCGGTGAGGGGTTTGGTGCTGACTTCACCCTTTTTACGAACTTTTTGTGCGTGCCTGTGAAGATTAGTGATAGATTGGGCACACTGTCTGCATTCTCCACTGTAGGAAGGATTGTGAACAGCTCCGCTAAGATGTACTTGACTGCCTAAAGTGGTGTTTTGTGGATTTTTAATGCATACTGCTTTTCCAGGGCTCAGAAGCAGCTTTAAGAAAGCTGAATCCCAGTAGAGGCAATCAAAGATGGTACGCTGAAAGGCTCTTCAGAAAGGCTTGTGGATTCTCAGTATGCAGCAGCTTTTCTGAATATCCTGTTGTTGCATCTTTGGGAAATAGATGTGAGGGGTAATGAAGAGAAGACTGTGGAAAAAAAATTAAAAATGCAGAAGAAGAAGTAAAAAAGCGGAGAAAAGCTTTTCCATACAGGAAGACATTTGGTTTTAAACACATCTTAGATTCTCTTCTTTAGAGTAGTATTTCTAATAATGTTGCAAAGTGGCTCAGTGCAATAAGTTAACTCATCTATTTGTTTTCTAAATAATGGAAAGGATGCCATCCTAAAAAAAAAAAGCTACACGTATAGAAGGGAACATAGAGTTATTCACAAAGTACTTTTCTCATCAGACAGTGCAAAAGGAAACAAGAAAGTAAATACTTTAATTAACTGAGACAAAATCTAAGTAAGGGTGAACTCTGATGACAAGCAAACAGGGAGACAGAGTGCGGCTCTTTCAAAAATAACCTATTTTCACAGAAAAAACCCTTGTTTATTAGCTGAAATTTCTTTTTTCCTGGGTATGTAATTACAGATGTTATCTTTAGACAAACAAACACAACTTGTCTTTGTAGCTCCCTTATCTTAGGCAAAAGTGTATGGAACTAAGTTGAATATAAAATAAGGAATTTGTAGCGATGGCTAACACTGCATCCTTAATTCATGCAGCAAGTCTCTACCTTCCTGGTCCTTGTTGCACATACAGTGTTGTCTGCTTTTCTGAGCTCATCTTAAAGGAAACTTCATCACTGAAACACAATAGTATGCCTTCAGATCACGGCTTCTAATTTAAGCTGAGGTTTTTGCAGTCTCACAATTGGCTCCTCATGGCTCCTCAGGGATACAAAATGTGATTGTTATATTGATTTTAGTGGACTTAATTTGAATTTATTGTTCACCAATCAGATAAACCTCTTAGGAAATTTAATTCAGAGACAATCCTTTTGGCTCTACTGGTCCTAGACTTACGGGCTTTCCTTTTTTTTATTGCATCAGTAAGTATCTGCCCTGGTTAGTGCTTGCCCATTCTTCCAATTAGCCTCTAATGTTGACTGTATTGTTTAGGAGAACTTTAAGCCTATGACTGTCTAATGTAGGATAACTGCTAGTGCAGGTAGTTGCTGTGCAAGGTTTTTTTTAAATTAAAATTAGCTGATTATTTTTTCTGTTTCACTGGAGTTTGCCAGAGGTTTCATGATAGAATTTGGCATGAGTTACGAGTGTATGATCCAACTGAGTTAACCTCTATTTGGATGCTGGAGATGATGTACGGCATGATGGGGTAGGAATAGTAATGTTAATTTTGCCTTGCAAGCATAATCTCTGATTGATTTTAAACTAATCATTAAAAAACAAAAGGATTGTCACTTCTGATTCTCCTCCCCGTTCTCTCCCAGCTAGTGAGTGACCACCTAAACAGTTTTTGGCACTGAGGACAACAGAACCAGCTCCCGCTGTTCATTCCTGCTCTCACTCTGCAGGGGAGAGTTTCGAAGACCGAGTTGCCATCAATGAGAAAAGCTTCTGCGATGTTGATAGCTGATGTGTTTTAAGAGCTGCTTTCTTCCTGCCCCCCTTCCCAGCATTTTTTGGGGGTAAACTTCTACTTGCAGTTTCTGCCCTGTCAGCTGTGGATACGGCAAACGGCAAACCAGCTGCTTGTGTTGCATGCCTGTAGTTCACAGGGCAACATTTTCTTCTTGGAGGAAAGTGGAAAGCCTGAACAAGCATATTTGGCTGGTATGGAGAGAGCGTGGGACCTCCCTAACCCAGGTGGAGGCTATTGAACAGTGCTAAGTAGACAAGCTGCTTGCTGCAATAATAGTTGGGAACCAGTTATGATTGATGGCACTATTTAAAGGATGTTCTTTATTGATTTTTGACAGAAGGTGGGTGGGTGGCTATGGTCTCTCACAGTATTCCCCTCCTGTCATAAGCACTTGCAACGAATGGATCCTCCGGAGTTTGTTAGCTGATCAGGGAACAAATGGTGGCCTGTGCTATCCATCTTAGCAGAGTCTCTCGGCTGCCAGCCTGGCACACTGTGCTCTTGACAGGAGAGCAAGCATCCTGGGGGTGAGATTCACAGGTTTTCTTTTCCTACGGTGCTTCTGAGAAAGAGGAGTAAAGATTTTGCCCAGCTGCTACTGCCGTTACAGGTCACGCTGGCTGATAATGGTGGGGGTGTACGTACCGCGTACCATCACTGAAGCTGAACGTGCTCCGGGAGAGAGCGGGTGATGCAACTGATGTGGTTTGTCTCTTCCCTCTCTCCTTCGGTTTGTGAAGGTGGGAGCACGTTCAATAGATTACCTTGCCTCGGTGCAGTTTTGTGTGTTATAAAATCCGTATGTCAGAAAGGGCAAGATGAATGAAATGTTCTCTGTGCTTAAAAGAAAGGAGTAGTGAGGTCTGTGATGGCATTTTGTTGCTGCTAAGACTGTGTTGCATGGTTTTCGATCGGTCCTTGAGAAACCACCGTGATGGATATATGCCTGTAGAGTTGTTCTATTTCCAGCAAGGTATGTCCCTTGTCCTTCCCTTTCTGTTCACACTGGGACATGAAACTGAGATCACACTAGTGGCACCAACAGGTAGATTCCTGCTTGATGTGGGTGCGCATGTTTAGTCATACTGACAAAATGTCAATTATCTTTTGAGATCTCAAAACTGGTTGAAAAATGGTAAACTAAGTAGCTGCATGTCCAGCTCTAGAGATACAGGAGAAACTGTACTGAGTTAGGTACCATGGTATTTTTGCTCCAGGCTACTCCCACATAAAACATACGCTTGTTCATCGGTTATAAAAATTACCACCCAGATCTAGCCTCTGCATGAACCTTTTCAGTATGTGTGTGGTGGTAAAGTCTAAGGCTGCTTTACGTTTCATCAGTGAAAAAACAGCATTGTAGCAGACCTTCATCCACACCGAAAATGTGGTGAGCCTTTTTTCCTCATTGGTTGCTTTAAGTACTGGATGTGAATGAAAAATGGCAACAGAAAGTAAATTGAGGGAAGATGGAGGTGATGCTTAGGAAAAGAAAAACGCATAGTGAAGGACAGATTACTTAGATAATGTGATCAGATCACTGTGTCAGTCTTCAGGTTTGAAGTGTGTCTGGAGGTCTTGTAACTCCTGAAATACCTAACTGCGCTGCAGAAAGCAAAGAAATGCACGTAATTCTTTTCCCATCATCTGTTTGTCAGGAGATGGAATTTCATTTATCAAAACTGGGTATGACCATATTTTGCTGAGTGTCTATGGACTCTAAATTTTATGTCTCCTTGGTATAATATTTCTCCCAGAAAATGCTACCCTTTGCCTCACTGCCTGGAGAATACAAAGACTGAAGGCTGCATAGCCAAAGAGTTCTTCTTCCATCTTTAAGAAAATAATGTAGTTTACCTGACATAGCACCACAATGCCTTGATGCATGAGAATTTTTTTTTGCTTTACTTCTCCAAAACACCATGTACGTTTTGTTTGCATGAAGATTAAATTAGTTCTGTTTGATTTTGAACATTTTCAAATATTTTTTAAAAGGAGACTTTAAAGTGGGAATTATTTTGTTCTGGGAAGATAAGAAAATTTAGAATACTTCACAAATAACATTTGGATGCTTTAAAATTTTCCTGAAACAAAGAACTTATTGAAGTCCATATGAAATTGCAAAATACTTCTTCCGGAAATCTACATTTGTGTAGAATGGAGTTTGGTTAAAATTCAGTACTGGTTTCATGCTAGTTATTTAAATCTGCTATGGCTACACAGGAATTTATTATACACTATGTATTTGAATCTGTAAATCTAGAAGATTGCAGCAGATGAAATAGCATTATTATTTGGCAGAGAAAACATTGGTGTGCACTAACAGCATGAAAATTACTTATCATTTACCACTAAAACAAAACATTTATATGCAAATGAATGTAAAAAATAGACCTACTTTACCCATGAATGATTTGATTCCTCTTAAGAATTATGCCTTTTATCTTAATTTCATCTTCTTGCCATTTCTCACACAGAAATCCTTTCCTTTGCCCTTATCACTAGTCAGATCTTAAAACTACTTTTGTCAGTAATAGTGAATATTAGACTTAATCATGGTAGTGCCAAATGAGGAAGGCTTCATTTTGGA